ATTTTGATCCTACAAAGCGAAACTTCCAGAATGTCTTCATGTTTCCCTACGCTGTTCCTAAAGCTGAAAAGAAATGATCATGCACTGAAATTTGTATTCTTCAGTCAATTGCTTTGGGACACAACGAGCCGACATTTTCCGATATTCCGGCTTCTCGTGGACTATTTTATGGACTACCAACTTTGGAATATTAAGTTCTACAGACTGATCACAACGTTTGCGCCATCTATATTGACCTCATAATGTGGAATCATCCGTCGTCAACAACCTCCAAAATATTCAAAGTTCAATGAGGAAATTGACGACAAGTGTGATCTGGAATGCAAGGAGTGTGTTGTTTGTGATATTCCTAATGTATTGTCAAATAATTAACACAGATACATTAAAATACTTGATAGTTTGATAGAAGCTGTTTGCCGAAAGAGACTTGGAAGTTGGCGTAAGAATGTCAGCATGCACGACAACGCCATCATATACATGCGCGGTGTGACACCGATATGGTTGGAATATTTTACATTACCCACAGAATAGTTTTGATTCCTTCAGAAAATCATTTATCTGGGAAGTGATTCTACGAAAATGATGCGGTTTCAAATGCGTAAGGGTGACTATAGTCGCTTAACACTACACGTTCTTCGAGGAGGCGATTTATGCGCGGATATACCGATTGAACAAGCACATCTTTCTCGATACCGACGACATAGGAAAATTGTATCATAATGCTATTGTTTTATTTGTATACCAATAAATGTGTTGGATTAGTAAATGTTTTCACCTTAATTTTCGGACATCCCTTGGAAATGTGGCGAGAAAGGTTATGCGATACTTTGACAGTATTTTGGAATCGTGTCACAGATTTAAAGAAAAATGGCTTCCAGTTGTATCTAACCTCACTTAGCGAATCTTCTTATGAGACTTATGGATTATGAATGTTGCAGACCATTTTATGTGATTCCATTTCGTACATCTCTATGAATGGGATGTAGAATTAATTTCAACTTCACCCACCGCGACGTGAACGAGTCCGAACTTTTATTGTCTAACTCTAAAACGGTAGATTTTATCAAAATTTCTTTATTATTTTCGAATTAATCTTGTACATTTACACCTAAATGGAACTATTAGGGAAATTTTTATTAGAAACTGAGTGCGGGGCTTGAAATGCAAATTATCTTTTTGAGGTTCCGAGTTGAAATTAGTTCTTTCAACCCGATGAATAAATCACCAATTGCCTGTAAAGTGACAAATTTTATTCAAAAGCCAATTATATTTTTATTTTTACCAATTCTGCTAGTATTATGTCTACATTTTTGTCTTAAATCTGTTCAGGAGAATAACTAATATCTACATGAGATACAGAGACAATTAACTGGTCACATTTTTCTCTCCTTACCTACACGTATGCATATGTATGTGTAATTTTGAATATGAATATACAAACGCTCGAATTTTATCCGAATACATAGATCTGTTAAAACAACTCACGAATTATCACTCGAATCCACACATTTTTGTCTGCATGTAAGACATATAACTAAGTTCATGATGGGAGTAATGCGTCTTATAACGTTGGTCCCTGGCTTGAGAAGCCAATTAGATCTGTTTAAGTGTTTTTTTTTCTTTTCTTCATAGAGAATAAGTAAATGAGAATAACTTACTGGAATAAGTTACTAAATTTTTAACAATTCGTCTTAGACGTATGTAACCATAGAGAGGTATTGAATGCCATTTCGATTCTTAACAAAAATGGTCGGCAATTCATCTTTTATATCCATTACTATAGATCACTGCAGGAAAAAGCAGCCTTAAATATGTTATTCACAAATCGTTTGCGGTGTATAGAGACAGTTGCTTTTTAGTTAACATACTGCACTGAAGCAGCATTAAGATGATTTGACGACTGGCAGAAGGGAACAGAACTAATATGGCATTGCTCCAAGCGGCTAATCGGAATGCATCGAGTATCTTTAATATATCAATGAGTTTCATCACACTGGGTGGTATTATTATTCATTGACTAGATTTTGGAGAAATCTTTTACGGAGTTTGGCACTATATTCCGTTCGCAGTTATAAATCTTTGGAATACTTTTTCTGTGTAAAATGTTTTTTTGTTTTTTTTTCATAATGATTAGATACTGTAAATTGTAAAATTTGCCACATAGCATTGCATGTAAACATTTTAATGATTTAATGTTCTATGGGTCGTGTCCCTTCAAGATGTAGGGTATCATGGCTTCTCCACAACTTCATATACTTTGTAGCTTTTTGAAATATTTCTTTTTAATATCCTATTCATTCCCTGTTCTGTCATTGATTTACACAAGTTTGTTAGGTTCGTTATTTGCTGTTTCGTTCTGTTTCATTGACTTCAATATGTCCTGTGAATGTCCTACACAATTGATCCAAATTCATTTAGTTCATTAGTAAATATAAATTTAGATGCAAATATCAATATTTTATCTTCCTGTTCTTCTATTTTTCTTTTTTGTCCTTTCTCTTCACCAAAGTCTTCCGTTTTTTGTTGTTGTATTTTTTTTGTTTTTTGTTTGTTTTTTTCCTTCAATCTCTGTAACACTTGCATCCTAGTGGCATTATCGATTTGCTTGGGGTGAAATGATTAAAAAACCATGACTTATTGAATAACCAAATAAAATGAAATAATCTATAAAAAAAAAAATCTTTCATTTGAAGATTCGTTTCGTTTGACTTTCTTAGGCTCTGAATCAAGTAGTTAGCTAGCTTTCATGTTCCAAATCTATTATAGATTAGCCTTATACAAGTACATATTGCAACAATTTAAGCGTCTGTGTACGTGGGGAGCCCGCCAAAATAGATTGAAAGAAATTGAGGTTAATGTTTAAAAGGAAAAAAAGCTTGATAGTTGATCAAATTGGCGAAGGATAAGTTTTTAAAAGTTGAGTCAGGAAGCAAAAATAAAATGAGAAAAATACCGAGACAGAAAAAGATGGACAAAAAAAAAAAACAGAACGACTAAATTTCTCGCTTAAATACCTGTCAATAATCAACTTGAGACATCATAAAATAGAATGCGCTTCGTTTTCCATACTCTTTTCAACAGCATCGTCAAGATCTATTCCTAAAACCTCACTGTCAACTACTACTTTTAAAATGCACAATAAAAAAAGGTAATTGTCTTTTGGTCATGAGTAAGCTTGTGCGTTGGGACGCTGTGGTGTAATGGATATCGGCTCGGAATGAGACATCGGAGAGCCGAGTTCAAATCTCAGTCGGTTTCGTTACATTCACTTACGTGCAAATACCGTTGTAAAATGTATGAATCCAGCTCTTCTACCCCCATCCGCTCCCCAGGAATAGCAAGAGAAAATATAACTTTGGTTATCAGCCAATCTACAACAGAAAGAAACGACAACCTGCTGCAAGGAAATTTTCTACTTCGACTGTTATGAATCAAAAAAGACATTACCATACCGCGTACTTCGGTTTCGCCGTGCTAAAGGCTTGAAACAACGCTTTCCCTAAAGTACTTTTTAATCTGATCCCAGATCTCTGTTTATCCGTCTCTTAACTTTTAAAATATACTTGCAGAAATTTTTCATCATTTAGTCTCATCCCTTCAATTACTTCTTCTGAAAAATAACAAACCACTTCTGCCAGTTATCTACAAATGATATACCGTAACTTACATTTTTCTAATGAATATCATTTGTGATTTTTCTTTTGTAAATTTCCTCTTTTCAGTCCTACGAGCCTAACACTTTATGGTCTCTTCACATTACTGTTTTCGTGGACGTTTTTCCTGATGTGAGTGTATTTCGACAATTTTACTGGAGTTTCGCATTCATAAAAATAAAAAGACAACCATTACATTTTTATAAGTACATTAAAATACTTGGCTTGTTTCGATAGGTTTAAAAAATATATATGGCAGGAAAAATTTGCCAGAGTAGACGGTATTGAGAATATATATCCGACTACTGATTTACATGAAGAAAGACTGTTTTCCCTCAGTTAAAAGCTTATATTTCATTTTTTTTTCCTCAGACCACCCGGAGTTGGTCTCGCTTATAAAGAAGTTATGGATATTGTTAATTATGGGTGGGTCAGAAAATTCAGTTGGCAAATCAAAGTGGATCTGATATTTTGAAGGCTTGTTTTCATAATAAAATAAAAAAAAACAAACATGATTCTACAAATGTACCTATTCAACGACCAATTCCACATATTACTGTTGCATTTGAAGTAAAGGTGCTAATTATGTTGTTCATTTTTTTTTTATATGTTCAGAAGCAAATATCAATAATTTCATGACTTCAATGCTCGGTTTTAAGGGCAGTTCAGATTATATTTAATTTAATGTGCTGTATTATCAGTCATATTGTCTAACTCAGAAAAGTGATCTTACATCAATTCCTTTCCGTTTGCCTGTCCTATATTCTTCCATCAGCCGTGCACAAACCTTGTTAGACCCCCCGCCTACCACCAGCGTACCTAAAATGGATGTGAAACCTTGCTATAAATTTTTGCCCGTAATGTCAAGTCACAATAATCATTTACACTTATTTCCTAGAGATTTAAACCTTTGTCAACATACAAGCCAACATACAAGTCGCCTTAAATCTTAAATATCAATATGTAAATCGCAGCAAAGTTTCCAGAACTTTAACTTCGATCTACCCAAGTTATATACACTGTCAGACCATCGCTTCGAAGGGGCGGTAGGCCTCTACGAACGCTCAGTAATTTCTCGAAGAGAAGTTTTCTTTTGTTGATGGATTGATTCGTTTTGTACGGCTTATCAACCGTTTGCAGGTTATTTAAAGTCAGAAAACATTTTTAAATTGTAAGAATTTTCTTTTTTTATTAATCCATATCTGTGGGGGAAAACGATGGATTCGAACTTTTCCCAAGGTTATTCGCGCGTAAATAAATATAATGAACCTATCTGGAATTAGAACTCTGCTCTTCGATTAACAATTCACTCATTATCCATTACACCACCCGCACAGCACATCCAAGCTTACAGCACCTGGTATTCCCAAGCGGTCACCCATTTAAGTACTAACACGGCTCGACGCTGCTTAACTTCGATGGTCGTACGAGAGCTGGTGTTTCAACGTGATGTGTCCGTAAGCCTATAAGAGAAGGAGGCTCCATCCAACAGAAAACCTGCGACCTCTAGACCTTATTTCCATGACATGTAAACTTTAACTTTAAAGGGTGGGGGGGGTCACACGTACGCATCACCTCACCTGACTTTGAAAACTTTACTTGCGCTAGCATGAGGGCTGTCCCACACTACTGCACCTGATATGGAAATCCCTCCCATCTCTTCAAACCAAGCCATGCAAACCCATAATAATCATGTAATCATTAAATGTGATTGTTGTATAGTAATACATGTGCACTATAATTCCATTCATTCTTTCATGTCAACCGTTATCTGTGAAAAGATCATATCACAATGACTAACAATGAAATTGGAAAAGTAGAGTCCATATCGCTATCTGAAGCGCTAATACTAAAATCATATCGCCGATAGGATTTGAACTCGGTCAATTCCATTTTCAGAATTGTTTATAACTGTTTGAACTCTGGTCTCTGAAGTCCACATGACGAAGCACAGGTATTATTAGTCACAACTATATTATCCCCTGATGAATATGAAGACTTATTAATCTTGGCACCGGTATTAAGTTTACATTTCCATCCGGCTGTGCACAATGGAAATTTAAAAGGCAAATAGTTTTAGAGAATTCTCTTATGACAAAAGAGGTTACGGATCCTTGGTGAACGACATGTTTATACAATGGAGTAACTTGTGATTGGCTAATATAACTGACAAGGAAGCCATGGTGGTTATGTAAGGTCAATGCTTAGAAGACCCGTGACGCATCAACAGTGTTACACTTGGAAAGAATGGCGGTTACCTGTGAGGTTAATCTAACTTCGTTTCTGTTTCTTCGATTAATATCCAAACATCTACTCTTTGACAGCAAATCAATGACATATATATATATGTACACTGGGAATACATTATATTTAACAATTTACATTATTCTCGCACCTGGTACAGAAACGGACAAAAACACTTAAAATTTTGAAAAATAACTGAAATTTCGTGTCTACATGTTTTTTTTTTTTTTTTTTTCCAAGAATCCACTTTATATCGGAGATCTGGATGAAGTTTCAATAAACTTTACTATAAAATTGAGTGTTCAAAAGATTTATTGGAAGTACATGGGTTCTGCACAGATAGTAGAAGATAACCACAATGACTCCATGACACCGGATATGATTTTTGTGGAAGATGTCCTCTCAACCCAGTTTAGATATTCCAGAACACAACACACACTCAAGGTATATCGCTGAGACGTTGTTACAAAATATATTAAAATGTTATATTTAGGAACTACACGTGTCTGAGGAGACCTTCTAGTTTTTAAACGGTGCATTTTTACGTTTACCGATCTGTGTATTTGAGGGTCGAAACCACCGACATGCTTTCGACTAATATATATAATATATATAGAGAGAGAGAGTGAGTGAGTGTGTGTTGTAGCATACCTACGGATGATAATAGGTATGTCACCATTCACATAAATACAGTAGTAAATACTGTATGTTGGTCTGCAGTTAGATTCGTCTTCAGAAACACCAACCGACCCCGTTTTTATATGGGGCCTACGGGAAATTTTTGGCGAACCTACTGGCTCGGATACCCCACATTCGACCTTGTGCCCCATCTGACCGTCTGGGGCGGTTGGTAGATATCCTGCAGTTGGAGATTCACTGTGGAATTCACTTGACTCACTTCTAGCAGTTGACTACTACTTCTACGCGCCGCTGGCGAATCTTATAGGTGTTGATTTTGTCCTGTATTATGGTTCATTACCAACCTTCGTGTGATTATTCTATTCAGTAACCTTCTCTAGGTTATAACAGAGAGATTGTATTAAATGGTCAACCGCTGTAATATCTTCTTTTTAATAGATCCGGAGAATGCTAGGCTTATGGCCACATCACGTTGAAACATCATTTCCCGTACGATCACCGAAGTTAAGCAACTTTTTTCTTTTAATATTGTAGTCGAGGCCTTCTGCTTCCACTGTCTATATGCATCTTCAAGCGAAAATTTTTTTTTTTTTTTTTTTTGGGGGGGGGGAATAACTTATTTCTGAAATAAGTTATTCCAAAAAACAAATTTCGCTTGAAGTTTTCGGTTCTTGTTTTGAAACATGAGAACTCTTATGTAGTGTGTTGGAATCATATTTTTAAATAAATAATATATATATATATATATATATATATATAATGAGAGAGAGAGAGAAACAAACAATTCATTTTCCTGAATTTTGGGAATTCTAATTTTAGATTATTTTCCTGCCAACGCTGACTTACAGATGAGTAAGTTTCCCCCAGGGGGACACATGATTCTATGTGCAGTATGATATCATAGCTTTCTACAACATTTTGTCACTAAGCAGAATTGTTCCTCTTTGCTCAGACTCCAGTGCCTCGTTCAAACATCCATTCACACAAGCTCGTCAGGTAAGTGACCCGCTGCCTTCTCCTCGATATCTCCTGTGAGTGTTATGTTTTCTAAGTCCTTCTTCCTCATTATGTGTTCAAGAAATTACAGTTGTCTCTGAGTTTGAATATTCTTTTGGTTACCATTTTCTTTAAGACTTCCTTGTTGCTTAATAGCTCGTCCATGGAATTCTCAGCATCCTTCTGTGGAGTCAAATTTTTATTGCCACCAGTTTTCTCTTCATCTGATGGAGATTGTCCGACATTCACTGCTATACAAGAGGATTGATATCACATAGCAATTCAGAACTATTTCCTTTGTTTTTAACGAAATTTTCCTGTTTTATAATACTTTGTTTAGCCTTTGAAAATCATCTTTTGCTATTCCAATATGCCTTCGGATTTCAGCACTCTTTTCTTTGTTTCTAACAAACATTTTCTGTTTCTTATTACTTTAGCTTTTGGAAGGCATCTTTCACTATCCCAATGCGCCTTTGGATTTTAGTGTCGCACTTTCAGTCCCCCTGTTAAAACACTATACAGACTATACTGAAATTTTAAAATAACTTATCACCAATATAAGTAGGGAACTGAAAACTGAATCGAAAATACGTCTGATTAAAGCTAGCTTTGTCACGGGTCAGAAAAAAACAACTATAAGAAACATTTGGTTACATTCTATATACAACCTCAGGACTTACATTGCTCTGTATATAGATTCGGAAATGAATATCAATATAGACGTGTATTGATTTATAAAGAAATTTACGAAAAATTTAATATAAAAAATATATATCAGAATAATATTAACTACACAACAAGACAGGAAATTGTATTGTGACAAGTTTCCTTCCAAAAAGAATGACTTCAGACAAAATAAGTTTTGGAATCACTCCTACATAGAAAGAGACAAAAAGTAGAGTAAACCCCGGCTGCAGCTTACACCAAAACGTTAAAGACAGAGGCATTTAAATTTTGCCGTCAGATGTATTTAAATTTAAATTAAACTTATCTTATCACACGCGAAATTTTATCACTTTTATTTTCATTGTATTTAAATATCCAACATTTTATTAATGTTAATTTTGTGAGGAAAGGAGATACATTGTATGATTACAGATATAAATTTAACGTAGAAGTTTCCGAAATTAACGTTTTATTGTTTAGCCTTTGAAAATTATCTTTCGCTATTCCAATATACCTTCGGATTTCAGTGTCGCATTTTCTGTTAAACACTTCCCAGATATTTGAATTTTTGTACTTGTTTAATTTTAAAATAAAATCCTGATTTCGACATTAAATGACCGAACAGAGCTTGATATATTGTAAAAGCAACCACACCAATAAACAACTTTACTGTACAATTTAGAATTAACGACACAATCCGTAAAAAAGAAATGATAATTAATGAACGCCTTTAAAATGTTAGCGTAGTATTAGCTTTCTTCATTTATTATGTTGATGTTACGAATTGAAAAAGACGGAACAAATCGATTAAAAGTTGCAAGAAGCAAGCAGAAAACTTTCAAACTTGGGGTGTGACATCCTTGAGAAAATCTCTGACAAATCTTTAATACGCTTTCTGAAGATTTTGTTTTTGCTGTTTGTTCAGAACAAAGCAGTTTGGGTGCGAGTAAAGGAACGATAAACGAATAAACAAAAGAAACAGGAATTGAAGATTAGGCCAAAAAAATGATTAAAAATTCTTCCGCAGAAGCAGGAAAATGAAGATTTGAGCAACTGATTGTACTGAAAATAAAGTTGTGAAATAAGCTATTCAAAGAATACAAAAATATAGGGTGAGTGTCCCTTTGTTCTGTTGTGATTATTTTTGTATTTTGCTTAAATGAAAACTTAACATATCATTCATAATTGTATAAAGAAACTAAAAGTCTATTGAAATTGTTTCGCGTGTTTTTTCTTTTCTTTTTTCCTTTCCCTTTTTCTTTTCATTTTCCTTTCCCTTTTGCTTCCCTTTTTCTTTTCTTTTTTCTTTTCCCTTTATTTTTTTTCTTTCCTTTATATCCCTTCCCTTTTTCTTTCCTTTATATCCCTTCCCTTTTTCTTTCCTTTATATCCCTTCCCTTTTTCTTTCCTTTATATCCCTTCCCTTTTTCTTTCCTTTATATCCCTTCCCTTTTTCTTTCCTTTATATCCCTTCCCTTTTTCTTTCCTTTATATCCCTTTCCTTTCTTTTTTCTTTCCTTTTTCTTTTTTTACCTTTCCCTTTTTCTTTCCATTTTTTCTTTTTCCTTTTTCTTTTCTTTTCTTTTTCCTTTTTTATTTTTTATTTTTTCCTTTAACTTTTCCTTTGCTTTTTTTACTTTCCCTTTTTCTTTTTTACTTTCCCTTTTTCTTTTTTACTTTCCCTTTTTCTTTTTTACTTTCCCTTTTTCTTTTTTACTTTCCCTTTTTCTTTTTTACTTTCCCTTTTTCTTTTTTACTTTCCCTTTTCTTTTTTACTTTCCCTTCTTCTTTTCTTTTTTACTTTTTCTTTTATCTTTTTTCTTTTCCTTTTATCTTTTTCTTTTCCTTTTCCTTTTTCCTTTCCTTTTTCCTTTCCTTTTTCTTTTCTTTTCTTTTTTCCTTTTTCTTTTCTTT